CTTGATATAAGTTGTAATAACTTGATATAAGCTTGATATAAGTTGCAATAGCTTGATATAAGTTGTAATAACTTGATATAAGCTTGATATAAGTTGTAATAGCTTGATATAAGCTTGATATAAGTTGTAATAGCTTGATATAAGTTGTAATAACTTGATATAAGTTGTAATAGCTTGATATAAGTTGTAATAGCTTGATATAAGTGGTAATAGCTTGATATAAGTTGTAATAGCTTGATATAAGCTTGATATAAGTTGCAATAGCTTGATATAAGTTGCAATAGCTTGATATAAGTTGTAATAGCTTGATATAAGTTGCAATAGCTTGATATAAGCTTGATATAAGTTGTAATAACTTGATATAAGTTGCAATAGCTTGATATAAGTTGCAATAGCTTGATATAAGCTTGATATAAGTTGCAATAGCTTGATATAAGTTGCAATAGCTTGATATAAGTTGTAATAGCTTGATATAAGTTGTAATAGCTTGATATAAGTTGCAATAGCTTGATATAAGTTGTAATAACTTGATATAAGCTTGATATAAGTTGTTATAGCTTGATATAAGTTGTAATAGCTTGATATAAGTTGCAATAGCTTGATATAAGTTGCAATAGCTTGATATAAGCTTGATATAAGTTCTAATAACTTGATATAAGTTGCAATAGCTTGATATAAGTTGCAATAGCTTGATATAAGTTGTAATAGCTTGATATAAGTTGTAATAACTTGATATAAGCTTGATATAAGTTGCAATAGCTTGATATAAGTTGCAATAGCTTGATATAAGTTGCAATAGCTTGATATAAGTTGTACTAGCTTGATATAAGTTGCAATAGCTTGATATAAGTTGTAATAGCTTGATATAAGCTTGATATAAGTTGTAATAGCTTGATATAAGTTGCAATAGCTTGATATAAGTTGCAATAGCTTGATATAAGTTGCAATAGCTTGATATAAGTTGCAATAGCTTGATATAAGTTGCAATAGCTTGATATAAGTTGCAATAGCTTGATATAAGTTGTAATAACTTGATATAACCTTGATATAAGTTGCAATAGCTTGATATAAGTTGCAATAGCTTGATATAAGTTGCAATAGCTTGATATAAGTTGCAATAGCTTGATATAAGTTGTAATAACTTGATATAAGCTTGATATAAGTTGCAATAGCTTGATATAAGTTGCAATAGCTTGATATAAGTTGCAATAGCTTGATATAAGTTGCAATAGCTTGATATAAGTTGTAATAGCTTGATATAAGTTGTAATAGCTTGATATAAGTTGTAATAGCTTGATATAAGCTTGATATAAGTTGTAATAGCTTGATATAAGTTGTAATAGCTTGACGTTGTTCGTAATAGCTTGACATTATTCGTAATAGCTTGCCACTGTTCGTAATATCTTGACATAGGTCGTGATAGCTTGACATAGGTGGACAAAGCTATACGTTTTTCGTGATAGCTTGACACTGATCGTAATGGCTTGACATTGTTCGTAATGGCTTGACATTGCTCGTAATAACTTGTCATTATTCGTTATAACTTGACATTCTTCGTAATAACTTGACATTTTTCGTAATAACTTGACATTCTTCGTAATAGCTTGACATTTTTCGTAATAACTTGACATTGTTCGTAATAGCTTGACATTGTTCGTAATACCTTGACATTCTTCGTAATAACTTGACATTTTTCGTAATAGTTTGACATTTTTCGTAATAGCTTGACATTGTTCGTAATACCTTGACATAAGTCGTGATAGCTTGAAACTGATCGTAATACCTGAACACATTGTTAAGATGGTATAAAACATACCGCGGTTGAGATCTTGTTGGCCACGATACCATAATCATTGAGATACAACTTGGTGACCGAATCCAACTTCTTCACTTCTCTAAACATCCATTCTGTGATATCAGGGTCATGTAGTTTCTCCTCGTAAAAATGAAGATGAAGGTTCTCATTCTCCACATCCCAATGCTGAAAACTAAAATAAAATAAAGGTAAAATATCCATTACTATGTACGACTTTTACTCTAGATTTTACATGCTTTGGACGAGATTTTGATTAACGGAATTGTCTTGCTTGTACAGTTTTGTATTTAGTCCTTATCCAAAGACTTTACTGGTATTGGGCTTCACTAGAAAGTGTAACTGTGGCTAGTTCCACATCTCAATGCTGAAATCTGAAAAATAAAGGTGAAATATTATATTGGCTTGAGGCTCTTGAGTCAATGTCCAAAGACTTCATCAAAATCTAGCTCCACTTGTAGTAGAACTGTGGCGCGTGTCCACATCCCAAAGCTAAAAACTGAAAAAATAGAGGGGTAAAAAATGTTATATTAAAATCTCTCTGCCCTTGAGTCTCAGACCAAAGACATTGTAGAATTTAAGCTTCGTCATAACCTCTAAAGCTCATGTCTTTAAAGACGAGCTCCACAAGAAGTAGAACTGTGAAGGGTGTCCAAATCCCAAAGGTTTTGGTTGAAAAAGGCCTCGTGGTAATCGCGCCGTCCAGTAGTCATCTACCTATTGTCGATACCAAGCTAGTCATAGAGCTGCACCAGGTGTAACATATGATCTCACTTACCTGCCTTTGAAGGTGGATGTCATATCTTGGGCATGTTTAGGAAGAAGTGGTCTGATCTGTGATCCATTCATGTGTCTCTGCCACCATGGCACCACTTTAGGCCCTCCCCAGAATATATTGTGCCCTCTGAGTTTTATTCTACAAATCACACGTCATACTTTAAAAAGTAATGCAAGGTCAAACAACGGCTACATGTATTACATAATGATGATAGACAATAAAACAAAAATCTGACAATAATTCCATGTTATCTGTGTTGAACTTCGATAGTGATATCAAGAGTTGCATCGAATAGCACTATGAAGGATTTATGGTTGCCTCACCAAGTTATTATGTGAATCTTCTAAGGTGATGCCAGGTAAAATATCGAATGACGTAACATGTTAATATGCGGGCTTTCCAACGATGATGCAGATCTACTATAAAAGCAATACCAAGGGACATTACAAGTAATGTGATACCCACATTCAGTAATGCGTTAATATATAGACTATCCAGGCCAGGGATGATGCCTACGGTGTCAAGATCTTCCAAAAAACTGAATAAAACACCTTGTTAAATACTAAGTAACATTCCGGAGATACATATACCGCATACAGTTCTTACTTTATATTACAAACTATCCAAAGATGATGCCCCTGTGTCAAGACCATCTAAAAAGAAGTTAAATAAGTCGTCTACTTACCCTTTAGCTAATAATGAATCCACGGCATGTTTAACAGGTAGTACGTAAAATTTACCCTGGAACAGAAAGATAAATTCTGGTTATGCTTAATCCTAGATTTTTAATATACCCGCCTGTTAACTTCTAGAAATTCTTTTTCATTCATTATCCCTTAAGAATGTAATACTCCATTTCATTATCCCATAAGAATATAATACTCCATTTCATTATCTCATAAGAATATAATACCCCATTTCATTATCCTATAAGAATGTAATACTCCATTTCATTATCCTATAAGAATGTAATACTCCATTTCATTATCCCATAAGAATATAATACTCCATTTCATTATCTCATAAGAATATAATACCCCATTTCATTATCCTATAAGAATGTAATACTCCATTTCATTATCCTATAAGAATGTAATACCCCATTTCATTATCTCATAAGAATATAATACTCCATTTCATTATCCCATAAGAATATAATACCCCATTTCATTATCCTATAAGAATGTAATACTCCATTTCATTATCCTATAAGAATATAATACCCCATTTCATTATCCCATAAGAATATAATACTCCATTTCATTATCCTATAAGAATATAATACTCCATTTCATTATCCTATAAGAATATAATACTCCATTTCATTATCTCATAAGAATATAATACCCCATTTCATTATCCTATAAGAATGTAATACCCCATTTCATTATCCCATAAGAACGTAATACTCCATTTCATCATCACATAAGAATGTAATACTCCATTTCATCATCACATAAGAACATAATACTCCATTTCATTATCCTCTAAGAATATAATACCCCATTTCATTATTCTATAAGAATGTAATACTCCATTTCATTATCCCATAAGAACGTAATACTCCATTTCATCATCACATAAGAATGTAATACTCCATTTCATCATCACATAAGAATATAATACTCCATTTCATTATCCTATAAGAATGTAATACCCCATTTCATTATCCTATAAGAATGTAATACTCCATTTCATTATCCTATAAGAATGTAATACTCCATTTCATTATCTCATAAGAATATAATACCCCATTTCATTATCCTATAAGAATGTAATACTCCATTTCATTATCTCATAAGAATATAATACCCCATTTCATTATCCCATAAGAATATAATACCCCATTTCATTATCCTATAAGAATGTAATACTCCATTTCATTATCTCATAAGAATGTAATACCCCATTTCATTATCCTATAAGAATATAATACCCCATTTCATTATCCTATAAGAATGTAATATCCCATTTCATTATCCTATAAGAATGTAATATCCCATTTCATTATCCCATAAGAACGTAATACTCCATTTCATTATCCTATAAGAATGTAATACTCCATTTCATTATCTCATAAGAATGTAATACTCCATTTCATTATCTCATAAGAATGTAATACCCCATTTCATTATCCTATAAGAATGTAATACTCCATTTCATTATCCTATAAGAATGTAATACTCCATTTCATTATCACATAAGAATGTAATACTCCATTTCATTATCCTATAAGAATGTAATACTCCATTTCATTATCTCATAAGAATATAATACTCCATTTCATTATCTCATAAGAATGTAATACTCCATTTCATTATCCTATAAGAATGTAATACTCCATTTCATTATCCTATAAGAATGTAATACCCCATTTCATTATCTCATAAGAATATAATACTCCATTTCATTATCCCATAAGAATATAATACCCCATTTCATTATCCTATAAGAATGTAATACCCCATTTCATTATCCTATAAGAATGTAATACTCCATTTCATTATCCCATAAGAACGTAATACTCCATTTCATCATCACATAAGAATATAATACCCCATTTCATTATCCTATAAGAACGTAATACTCCATTTCATTATCCCATAAGAACGTAATACTCCAATTCATTATCCCATAAGAACGTAATACTCCAATTCATTATCCCATAAGAACATAATACTCCATTTCATTATCCCATAAGAACGTAATACTCCATTTCATTATCCTATAAGAATGTAATACTCCATTTCATTATCCTATAAGAATGTAATATCCCATTTCATCATCACATAAGAATATAATACCCCATTTCATTATCCTATAAGAATGTAATACTCCATTTCATTATCCTATAAGAATGTAATACTCCATTTCATTATCCCATAAGAATATAATACTCCATTTCATTATCCTATAAGAATATAATACCCCATTTCATTATCCTATAAGAATGTAATACTCCATTTCATTATCCTATAAGAATATAATACCCCATTTCATTATCCTATAAGAATATAATACCCCATTTCATTATCCCATAAGAACGTAATACTCCAATTCATTATCCCATAAGAACGTAATACTCCAATTCATTATCCCATAAGAACATAATACTCCATTTCATTATCCCATAAGAACGTAATACTCCATTTCATTATCCTATAAGAATGTAATACTCCATTTCATTATCCTATAAGAATGTAATATCCCATTTCATCATCACATAAGAATATAATACCCCATTTCATTATCCCATAAGAATATAATACTCCATTTCATTATCCTATAAGAATGTAATACTCCATTTCATTATCTCATAAGAATGTAATACTCCATTTCATTATCTCATAAGAATATAATACTCCATTTCATTATCCTATAAGAATGTAATACTCCATTTCATTATCCCATAAGAACGTAATACTCCATTTC